CATCATCATCATCATCATCATCATCATCATCATCATCATCATCATCATCATCACCAACAACACGACTACCACGACCAAATGTTCTAAATGCGTCATCCCCCTCCCCTCCTTCCTCCTTCCCCCTCCCCCTTCCAGTCCTCCTGTATGTCCGAGAGAGACACGAACAAGCTTACACAGCTCTGATGTTGGAGGTCCCCACCATGTCAGGCCTGCTTAGATCTGTAAGTTATTAGGAAATAATATTGTTGGGGTTTTTATGGGGTTTTTAAAAAAATAAATCTAGCACTTTTTCACTTACATCTTACATTCTCTTGAGAGTAATGTCTTTGATTTCTAAATATTGCACTTTTTCATTTATATTCTCGATTGAGTCTTGTCTTTGTTTTCTAAACCACTGTCAACCTGCATTCTGACTTTGCTGTCTTTGTTTCTAAAATATAGCACATTTTCCGAACCAGCTTAAAATGCCCTACATATTCAGCATACAGATTACCGTACAAATTGCCGTACAGAAAAGCATACAAATTGGCATAAACATTAGCATACAGATTGGCATACATAATTATCATCATACATAATATTATAAATGCATGTCATGTTTGCAGACATAATTATACCATACATATTAGCATACATAATCATCATCATACATGTTATCATGCCGATTAGTATACAAAATTATCATCATACATATTAGCATGCAGATTAGCATACATAACTGTAAAACTACGGATTAGCATATGATGATGATTTCACACAGACACATGCCTTACTTTTTTTTTAAAAATCTCATCAAGTATCCTACAACTGTAGCACAAATTGTCCACAGGCCATTTCCAATAATGTCTTCCTCTTTTCCTTCACAGATCGAGCAGAAGTTTTCAATTCCGCCCTCAAAAGTCAAAAACTTGTATAAGAAATCAAGAAAGGGGTAAGTCTGAGTATGTCTGGACACGATTTTGCATTACATTTTCCACATTTCATTTACCTGTCTATGTGTGTGTCTGTGTGTGTCGTGTGTTTAGGATCACATTTATTGGGTAATTTGATTGGGGGTGGGGGGGGGAGAAGAAATTGCAAGAAAGCCAATGTTTAAACTTAAAAATTAATAATATTTCTATGTCAGCAATCGTTTCCCGTTCTTTTGATTTGAATTGTCTAAAGTCTTTGCCTTTAAAAAGTTTACATAGCTACTTTTCCACCATTTAATAAAGCGACCTCTAATTGAATGAGCTGACAACAATAACAACAGCAACAACAGAAACAATAAGAACAATAACTTCCCTTCTCTACTGTTCGAACATTAACAACAACAGCAAAAACAATAACAGCAACCACGACAACAGTAGCTTGCCTCCTCTCCTTTTTGAACAACACCGACAACGACAACTACAGCAGCAGCAACAACAACAACAGCAACAACAACAACAACAACAACAACAACAACAACAACAGCAACAACAACAGATTCAACAACAGCTTCCCCTCTCTCCTCCTCAGCATCCTGGTCAAGCTCGACGACAACATCGTCCGCCATTATTCTCACGAGGCCACTTTCATCATAGAGATGAACCAAATGAATGAGGAGCGAGACTTCGAGATTATTCTCATTGAGATAGAATCCTCCTAGCAGCGGCAGGCAGCATCAATGTTCTTATCATGTATCAACATCAATGTTCTTATGCACGGCTGTAGTAATATTGGCCAACCAACGTCAATGTCATTCTTATGACGTTGCTGGAATATTGGGAAATATCAGTGTTAGTATGATACCACTGAAATAATAATAATAATAACAATAAATGACATTTATGTAGCGCTCAACCCCGATTAAAGTACACAGGCTCTGAACGCTTTACAATACAGTACAACGTACAACAGTAACATAACTGTTCTGACTAAAGAAAATTATTCCAAATATTCATCATATTTATTTAAAAACAGATACGACTGAAATACTGGACAACATCAAGTCTTGTTATGTTTTAGATGGACTATTGCGCAACATCGATGTTGTTATGACTTGAGCAGGATATTGATCACGAGAAATTATGTTTGTATGATATGGCTGGAATATTGAGAAGGAGAAATGGTTATGTGATGTGACTGTAATACTGAGTCAGACCAATGTTGTACGATGTGGCTAGAATACTGAGGAGGAGTAAGTTGTTATGATAGAAATGTTATATTGGATAAGACCCGTGTTATTATGATATTGCTGTAATATTTGCTGTAAGTTGTGTTGAAGAATGCACTGAGAATGTACACGTGTGCACGCACGCACGCATGCACTCACGCGCGCACACACACACAAACACAAACACACACACACACACACACACACACGCACGCACACACACACACGCACACAACGTGTGTGTGTGTGTTTGTGTGTGCGCGCGTGTGTCAGTTTGCGTGTGTTAGTTTGCGCATGTGTGTGTGTGTTCGCTTGCGTGTATGTGCGTGAGTGTGTGTGTATGCTTGTGTATCATTGGAGCTGTGAATAAGTAGAGACTTGTATTTCACTTTATTTCTATTATCTTACAGTCTTACAGAGAGCATCGAATTGACGAATGTACATAAAAAAGTCTTCACCCCCGCCTTCACTTCTCCCTGCACACATTTACCTCGTCATTGTTAATTAATTAAAGGATGTGTTCAAAATGTGCATAATGAAATGAATTAGTTGAGGACAGATTTGCGACTCGTATAAGGTCGTATCACAGATTATCCCATTTATCGGAGGCTCCCTTTCTGGTCTGAGAAATCATGTCAGTGGGCTGACCCTCCCTCCTCCCCACCTCCACTCCTCCACTCCACACCTTCTCTTAGCCTGATTCTTTACCTCCTCTCTTCCTCCCTTTCTTTTCGCCTCACCATCTCCCTTCCTCATCTTCTCTCTTCTTCACCTTCCTGCATCCTTTCTCCCATCCACCCCTTCTCCCCCATCTTCCTTCTTCACCTCCTCCTACCCTTCCTCCCCTTCTTCCATCCTCCTCTTCTCCCCTTCTCCATCTTCTCCCCTCTCCCGTCCTTTCTTCCTGCA